TTTTTAAAATTATTAAAAAATAAAATTAAAAATTAATATAAAAACACCATAACAGAAAATATAAAAAATTATAACATGAACGAAGAACACTTTTATCTTACATCTCAACCTTTTAATTTAAATGTACATTGAATTTCTACTTTTATTAGGACTTTAATGCGGTCCCCACACCAGCTTCTTTCTTTTGCGTTTTTGAACCTTTTGTTTGTGATTGGCCCCACCTTTTTTTGACCTTTTATTGATATCCGCGTCTTTCATTCAGACCTTTTACTCTTGATTCAATGATTGTAAGGCAGAAGGTGCAATTCAGCCCCTCTACCAGCCATGTTGTGGCAGATCAGCCCTGTACTAAAAACTATGGCAAATCAGCCCCTTTACTTCATGTTATCCGCAGAACACCCCTTTTAATGAGAATGATGTCATCCAACCGTTAGACCCTCCATTGCCTATTAAAACCTAATGAGTTGGTGCTGACTGGGAGCTGATTGGGTGCTGATGTGGACCAATTTTACTCCACTTGGGTTTACCGAGATGGCACTCCAATGCTTTTACTAAAGAATCCTTACCAGAACAATAAATTGGGGATCTAGGGTTTCAATCTCACAATCTCACAATCTCACCCTCGATTGAACTTTCCTTTTGTTTTGATTTGCTTCTACTCATTTTAATTCCTTCCTCTGCTCATTTCAATTCCTTCCAAACTTGATTTCTTTCCCTCTATTTTGATTAAAGTTTAAAGTGATTTAGGCCATAGAGATGTATCTTCGTCAGGATCTGCAGTGAGTTTTTTGCTAAACTCAACGGCGCCATCGCTAGTCAGTTGTTCGTCTTCCTCCTCTGCAACGTCATCATCGCTACTCTCCTCGCCAAGTCCGGCAGATTATCCATCGAGAATCTCAAAGACAACAATGCCGAGGATGAACTCTACGAGGAAGTCGTCAAAAACATTGAAAATTGCCAACTGCAATCTTCGGAAGATGCTAGGGAACTCTCCATAGAAGAGATTGATTTGGAAATGTAGGGCAATTTGGCGTCGGATCTTGATTCTGATTCGGATTTGGACATGGATAATCCGAACTCTTACCAGAGGAGCAAGTCGGAGAAGTTCGTTAGACCGAGTGTGGAGAAAGGAAAAAGAAAAAAAGGTATGCATATCTGTTTCATTTTTGGTTCTGTTTGAATCAGTGTTGTTACCTTTTTTGTTGGGCTGAGTGTATGCTTGATTTTGTTTGAATCAGTGGTTTTTCCATTTTTGTTGGGTTGAGTATATGCTTGGTTCTGTTTGAATCAGTGGTTTTCCCTTTTTTGTTAGGCTGATTGTGTGCTAATAACAGGGTGAGGGAGCCAATGCAGAAGGGAATGTGCTTTGAATGGCATGACAAGTGGTACGGGAAAAGAGCATGAAGTTATTTTTGCTTCTAGTCAGCGCCAACTCATCAGGGGCAATGGAGGGTCTAACGGTTGGATGACGTCATTCTCATTAAAAGGGGTGTTCTGCGGATAACATGAAGTAGAGGGGCTGATTTGCCATAGTTTCTAGTACAGGGGCTGATCTGCCACAACATGGCTGGTAGAGGGGCTGAATTGCACCTTCTGCCCAATTACAACTGCATCTACA